TGACTACTACACATAACTTCACTACATATAACTTCATTTTTATCGGACACAGCTTTGGCCTACGTCAACTAGGATTCTCACAGACCATCTCGTTCATGAAATCAGGCTTGTTTCAAGGAGGCATGGTGAATGAAGCCACTACTTGGGGGATGAAAAGAGTACATTTGTTTGGATCTGAGCCGAGCCATCCATGCTTCTTATGATAAGGAGGAGATGTGGGTCTGTTTTTGTATGGCTTTTTTTTTTTTAGTTTTTTTATTAGGTTTTGTTTGTGTTTGTTTTTTTGGAGGCGGTGTGTGCATGAGGTTTTTTTTGTTTGGTTGGTTTGTTTGTTTGCTTTTGTTTTGTTTGTTTGGGGTGGGGTTTTTGGAGTATGTTTCAGATATAGGCAGTGAGGTTGGGTCTTAGATTTAACTGCTGTTCATACACTTTTGTCATCATAGCTAGACTTCGCGAACAAAGATTTGGGAAATCCTAGGACTCTATCCACATTTGTTACAAGCACGCTGGTGGTAAAGCCTTTGAGCCTGCGCAGTGGATTTTTTAGGTGCGATACAACATGCACAGAACTGAGCCTACCCTTTAATCCTAAGGTTCAACTGCCAGGGCCGAGCGAGCTTGGACGGTGGCAGCGAGGTCCTCAGGACGTAGGTTTGTTTAGTGACCTTCTCTTAGATGGATGGCTTTACAGGGCTAACGAGCTCCATCTGCACGGGTTTGGAGTTAGAGTTGTCCTTCTCCTAGGATGACTGCCAGAAGGCTAACGACCTCATCCTGCCCATGGATATATTGTGTCTGACCCTGCGGTTTTGACCTTTCTGGCATGGGAGACCCTACCGAAGGCACGTACCATCGCCAACATAGCTCGCAACCGCAAATACACTTTTGTAAATGCTGCCCTTTTGTCACAATATTTTGCAACTAAATAAGTATCTTTCAGATACAAATTATATCCTCATGATGTAGACTGGCTGGTCTGCTGTGTGAAATACCTCTATACAAAAATCTTGACCTGTATAACATGCTAATAGAATAGAACATGGTCACTTACTAATTATTAGTTATGTTGATATTGTTACTGCAAAGTAATATAAAGTAGGAAAATACATCAAAGATGTTTATTACTTTGTTTTTCTTCACAGAAAATCAGTTTAAAACTTACCATTAAATGAGAAAATAGAATGGAAAAAACCCATGGCATCAGCAACATTTAGTGTAGCCTGAAAGATCAGTGGTCAGTGATCTCTCTTTTTAACTTACTCTTTTTAAAGGTATGTATTTAGTCTTTACCAGGCCTTCCAGCCTTGCAGAGAAGCATTGGGCTGGAAGGGAATGTTCCATTTGAAACAGCTATCTACAGAGTGTAAATACATTATAACAGCATTGATAGTTCCATTATCACAGCGTGGCTCTATCAGACTCAGTGAGGTTGCTAAATAATCAGTCAATTGCTGGTCTTAAGAAGTAGGGTTCTGGAAAATAAAAGGAGTGCTATATGGAAAAGTATTGCTCTTAGTGTTTATTTCCAGTGGTGGAACTTATTTTAGTAAAATATTCTCATATTTTATTCAAAGATGGAACTGCATGGCAAATCACACTTACAATACTGATGCTTTAATGTGAGGCTCTGCCATACTGAATAGCACTAATGTACAAGGTCGCTTCAAGATGCAAAGGAAAAATGGATAAGAGGAAAATAGAGATGCAAATCTGATGAGCATGAGAGAATGATATCTATCACATTTGAAACAGGTCATCTGTAGCAATAAACTGCTAGTTTCAAAACTGATGCCTTTACAGATATAACGATGGTTCAGAAAATAGCTGCCATATCAAACAGGAGTCAGATTGCCTATTACCGCAACAGCAGGATCACCTTTACAATTGCCTGTTGCAAGGTGTCATTAAAAAGATTAGTTGAATCATTGGGCAGTCAGAACACTGATGCCAACATGTGAAAAATGTAGTCTAGAGCCATTTTATTTCCCCTGAAGTATTTCTGATGTCAATATCTCCAGACGTTTGCTGTTTGGAAGCTTGGCTTTCAAATCTGTCTGGTAAGTCTTAATTTCATAAATTTTTAATAGAAATTTTAAAGTATTCTGTTTTGAAGAACTTGATTATTGAATCTTAACAGAAAAACCTGATAAATCTTTTAGGCCTACTCTTGCTAGCCAAGTGTGAGGAAAAAGAATCAGAAATTAAAAGAATTGAGAAAGAAAAATCTTAAGAGGGATATTATTTAGAATATTTTCTGTTTCGGCTAATAAACCATCTTTAATGTTAACTTTTTATTTGGTTATATGCACTCTTCTGGGAGAGCCTAAGCAACACTTTCTAGCAGACAGAACTCAGGGAACAAGGGAATGCAGGGGATAAAGATTTCTGTGGCCTTGATCTGCTAAGGTGCTTGGAGCCTACTTATTTTGTGGTCTGTCCAAGTAATATCTATTCATATTCCATATTTACATTCACTGTGAGATTCGCCAAGTGAGATTGGTGAACTCTACAGTGAGTAGAGAGAGAACAACTCCTCCAGAAGATTTGTCAGATTTTGGCTCCTTCTCATTGACCTTTTTAGGGAGACTCAGGAGATACATCCTCTGAAAGAAGACTTACTGATCACGTTCCTTCTCCATTACAGCAGTGAGTGCTTGGTGTTGTTTGAGTTTGAGTGAGAAGAAAGCTGTATTTGCCATTTCAGAAATTATGGTTATTCCTAGAATGACTTATGGAAAGGGCTTCTTTGGGGATTGACCTGTTTTTCCTATGTTTCTATGGCATTTGAGTGTGGACTTTTGGAGCAGAACTGTAATTCAGATTCTAGATTCAGAACTGCGATACTGCCACAACTGGGAGTAAGAAATCAGTTTTGAGAAGCCTTGGTGCATCTTGATCAAGACAGAGAGGTGTATGAGTAACTCTGCCTTTCATTCTCTGACTACACATAACCTTCTTGTAGCCCTGATACCATATCCTTGAGAGATAAAAGTGCCAGGAGATACAACTGCAGCACACTGTGAAGTTGAGGGTACAGTGTGGCATCGTGTACCTGTTTTGTTTAAAGATGTGCCTGGGGAATCCAAGGTTCTTCTGAGTCTTGAGCTGCTTTCCATTGTGCAAGCACAGACTTGTGAAGAACATGAGTGTGTGTAGTAATGGTGCTTTTTGGAGTGGATGACATCTGTATCTCTGCATTTATTAACTCTGTCTGTGGATCTGATGGCATATCTGGAACTTGTGTGGAGAACACTGATTTAATAAAAACCAGTAATGTGATTCCTCCAAGTACCCTGCAAGGATATTTGGGTACCTCATATTCTTAGGCAAGCACTAAATTAATCACAGTACTAAAGTAAAAGTAAAGCCTATATAAATTTACTACATTATTTAAAAAAACTGACAAAACATCAGTGTGCAGAATTGGTAGTGGTAGATCTTTACACATATGGTCTAAGTTAATAGTGTATATCTATTTTTAATACAGCTCTACAGTAGTGTTTATTGCTTTAAAAAGAAAGGAAATAATGGGAAATTAAAAATCGCTGCTGGAATTTATAAAGATAAATGCTGCAATATGGTAGAATTTTCAAGGAAGATGAATATAAGGATCAACCTGAAATCCATTTAAGAGTTAAGGGGAAATATGTATATCAGATAATATTGGTATTACTGCTACATAAAATTTGGCAGACATCCTGATGCATGTTTCTTGTATAAAAACAGTTCACTGCCCTACAGTTCAGATCATTTGGCTGTTCTAAACAAAGTGCTTGTAAAATAAGGAGGAGTTCAGATCATTTGCCTCCTCTATATTTTATTTGCATCTTTGGTTAGAACCAGGTGGTTGTGTGAAAAGCGGGCTTTAAGGGGATGATGTCACTTTTAAATTCATTATAAATAATGATGCGTTGATATTTTATGAAAAATCTTTCCCATTAAATTTTCAGTACAGTATAGGGGAATTGCATACTCAAGTGTCTTGTTCAGACAAGAGGTTTAGTAGCATCCACTTATAATGACTTAAGGATTTGTTGTTCTAAATTTTTTTTTGTAGCAGATACTGCAAGTTCTAATAGTTTACAGCCATATGTTAAAAAAGTGAACAAAATATACTAAAACTTTCTGTTTATATTCAGCAACTCTCTTGTACTACTTTAATATCAAATAAACCTCAAACCTAGAAGAGACTTTTTTCCTTGTTATTGCTTATGGTAAAAATGGCCTCAGAAAGTCAATCCCCATTCTTGTGTACTCAAATATTTTGAATGTAAATATGTATATTATTTCCACGTAGAATATCATATTGAAGCCTGTCTGTCCTTGTTCTCACACATTTCTTTTATCACAGTGAGAGATTCCTGTGCTAGACAAATTAATTTTTCTACTTACATGGCCATAACAGCAAAATAAGGAAACTGCCATTTGCATTTCTCATTTCTTGCATTATGAAGTTTTGATCTGCCATGCAGGCGTCTGCCCTTTGGGTTGGGTGAAAGACATTTCAAGACTCTGTTGCAAAAAAGTAGACTTGCAAGACTCTTGCAATAAAACATAGAGGGCCCTGGGGGGCAGGGTTTCAGTGCCCTGTTTGGAAGACAGGAAATTTCACAATTCCTTGTTGATTTTTCTAATTAGTGTTGCAACTAATATACACAATAATATAGAAGACATTGAAATATGCTGTTTATTGTAAAGTGGAACCCTAAAAAATACAAATTTGCCTTCATCCATGGCTCAAAAGTCTATGGCTGCATTGCTAGTACTAGGCGAGTGTTTTGAGGGATTTTGCATTTATGAATTAAAACCCAGACAGATTAAAAGAATAATGAATGAGTTGGAGAACGTAGGCCTAGGAATTTTTTTAACTCTGGAACCTGTTTCTTAGGAAATTGTGAAAACTGATAGTTTATCAAAATTTCATACTTAATTTGTTATTTAATCACTGTCCAAAATATCCAAGGTTGCTACTAATTATGACAATATACACTTGTGAAAGGTATGTTTAAACTATGTGCTATGTTCTTTACTTCACTTTTTAGCATATATTGGGATAAGACCGATGTGGTAATGACTTAACAGTGATACTCTGTTCTCTTGGAAGATCTCTTTAACACATCCAGTGCTGTCTCCTACTAGAGGTGGGGAATAAATTTAGGAAGATGATGAGGTTGCTCCACGACAGTCCTTATTTCATTTGTGGGTGAATGGGCAACTGCAAACCTGCATAAAACAATGACATTGCTATTCCAGATCCATTCAGAAATTAGGTTTTTTTGTGAATAATGTCCAAAAATTGCTACAATGAATGGTTGTCTTGTAGTGTGTATAAAGACTTAGGAATGCATTTGCCAAGGATTATCAACTGTACATGATTTAGAGTTGAGTATGACCACCTACCCACTTAGACACATTTTCGAAGTCTCTGAGCCATTACGTTTCCTATAGTTGTAAAATATAAGAAACTGTGTTTGTCACGTCATCTTATATGTACTTAAGAAACAAAATATATCAACATAAAACATACTATTTTTAGACTGTCTGTATGTAATTTATCATGGGTAGTGATTTTTTATTTTAAAGGCTTAGTAATTTAATTCACAGGAAGTGGAGGTGGAATCTTAAATTCATTGGGAGTTCCAGTTCCTAAAAAGATTTCTTTACTGCCTCTGCAGTAAAAGAGCAACCTAGTTCTATTTTTAGATTTATCCATAGTAAGGATAAAAACACTACTCTGTATGTAACCTTTTAGCAGATTGTTACCATGAATGTGTTTAGTAAAACACATGTAAAAAAGCACATAAAAAGAGATGAAAGGTGTGGTCAGAAATCTTCGCTGAAAGGCATTTTTAACACTGCATGGGTTCATTTCCTTTACTATTGCTGTCTTGCAGGTACTTAGCATTTATAGACATCATGCCCTTGTAATTGAACTTGCATGAATCATTTATTTACTACGCTGCACTTACGGGTAATATATGTCAAGGGAATTCATTTTTTATTACAGCTGATGTAGCCATTATGATGTCATAATATATACAAGGATAGACATACAGCTTGAACAGAACTTCGGTCCCTTAAATCTGTGAAACTCAACACTGTCTACATTTCTATTTTGGAAGCAGACATGCAAGATTTGGTGGTTTAGCATTCTGCTAACTCTTGACAACAGCTTTTTGGTTAGGATAAAGAAATACTTCATCCTAGATATGGCAGTGACAGTATCTGCATTTAATTTGGTATTAAAAAAAAAAAAAGACAAAATGTGGAAATTTGCCAAGTAAGATTAACATACGCTGTTTTCCTTTTGGAGTTTAAATGAGAGCAAGTATCTTTTAAGGTTCAATTCTAAGAACTAACTGTAAGGAAAATATATATAAACATACGTGTTATGTTTGTTAGAGTAACTGAGCTGAACTGCATGATTTCAAGTCTAATATTTTGTTTTCAATGGGGAGGTCACAAAATTTCTCATTTCTATACCTGTTTCCAAGCTGGCTGCTCTGCTAGGTCTGGACAAAGTGAACCAGTACACAATGCCTACTGAAGCCTTCCCCAGCTAGAGATTCCTAATTCTTGGGGTCTTCATGTCTTGAAAAGTCCACTGTCAGAGTGAAAGAAGGGGACGAGCGAAGTTTCTTTGTGCAGAGAGAAAAGCAGAAAGTCATTTGCTATAGGCAAAAAGCAGCTTGGCGGTCAAGTTTAATGAAATGGAAACTGTTCAACAGATCACCTTTATGCTTTCACCTCCTATGCTACTATGAAGCAAATACTATGACGTAATTAGAAAATGGACAGTGGACACTTGAGAAAATAAAGACCTTTGTCAGCCTTTACTTATAGCTAAAGTAGTTCAGATATAATTTTGTAGGTATAACGGGCATAGCTTTGTATCTAAAAGCAGAAGGCTGAAATAGGAGCAACTTGTTTTTATAAGGAAGCGCACAATAGGTTTTTAGAGGTAAACCCAGGCTTTTTAATATACAGTGTCTTCTAATGCTTCTTACAGTCCAAGAGGAATGGGCATATTCAGGGGAATAAAGGATTTGGTGCCTAAGAGTAATATATTATTTTAGCCAAATCTCCAAAGAAGAATTTCCATAAATATAGCACATAAATCTTTAAGAATGCTTTTGAGAAGCTTATTTTTGAATTGCAATAACTCTGGTCAGAAAGATCTCTGAGTAGCGCAGTGCTATTTTAGTTGCTTAGTCAGATGCATCCTTTCAGCACTCAAACCAAACTGCCAGAAAAAAACCTGATTTCTTTGTCTTCTGAAGCACTGGATTTCACAGGTTATGGTTTACTGACTTAAAGTTAAGAACATTTTTCTAGACAGGCATACAAGAAAACCTAAATTAGAACTGTCATAAATAAAATAATTTGAATAATCCTAGCTTAGAGCTCCATCTCTTTTTTAGGAAAAAGTTTGCTGCTCTGGTAAGTTGTTAACGAGGTAGTCTCTATTTCAGTAAAATTTAGAGCTTACTAGGAACAAACCTTCAACTTAAAACAGAAAGAGAAGGTCTGTATCTGTGTTCTTAACAATCTGTGATGTTCATACCAGTGTACAGGTGTCTGTGTTGTGAATTCTTACAGAAATATGATATCTAACTCTCTGTGCAGTAACTAACATCTTGATGTTTCTTTTAAGTCTGTAGTTGTCTAATACCTATTTTTATAAAACCTTACATGCTTGTCACTGAACAGTAGCAAAATAATTAAAAACTATATATATGTGTTATCAGAGGTTGTGTAGCAAGTCTAATAGCTGAATCTGAACACTGCTTATGGTGATTATGTTACATTCCAAAAATGCATTTTCTCAGTAAAAACAGTAGGTTTTGAATAGAAACTGAGTCAGACAACCCTTTTGGAAATTTTTGATGAAAAGAACAGTTTGACAAAATTCTGAGTATCTGGAGAGAGAGTCTAATAAGAAAAAAATGTCTGATAACCTTAGATTTGGAAGGACCTCCTAGGCCTTTCACTTACTTATTATACATATTAACAGACCTTAACCCCAATAATTACTTAGAAATAAAATAAAGATTTCAGTGCTATTTTAAAAATGAAAAATCTAAAAAATCCTTTAGCTCTGCTTTTATTTTTTAAGTAATATGTTATTTCACCTACTGGGTACATAGTAATTTATGAGAAAGGGATTAGTACATCATCTGAGAAGCTGAGGTCAAGTAAGTAATTATTTGATTTGTAATAATCAAATCAGGTCCATAAGATACTTTATAAGCATTATTTAGTTCCAAGTTCAGGTTTGATGATTTTTCACTTCTGTTTATGGCAGTTTACTATGCTGAAGATCCACTGACAATGTGTCTAAAGGAAAAAAAGAAAAAAGCACCATTTTTTCTCCAGAGGAAGGCTAAACCTCATCTAAAATTTAAAACAGATCAATCAGGTGGTTCATCAATAAATATATACCATCTTCTGCAGTGCTGCATGTGACCTGCAGCTTCAGGAAGCATGAGCTCACTCTGAGGTAGACAGACAAAGCACATTTGAATTATGTTCTCCTTTTAAAAGCAAAGATTGCTTCTAATTTATTGAGGCAAGAGATAATTAATTCTCAGATTCAATACAGGGACCTAAAGAATTAGATTTCATGTTTCCATCCTCAAATAAGGCTTAAAACTAGAAACTGAGAAGGCAAGAGAATGTATGTATACTTGAATTGAATGAGACATATATTCAAGAGTTCATGGAGAAATCTGTCTGCAGATGGTCCCTAACTATCATGTTACCAAAAAATTAAAAACAAACAAACAAACAAAAAACCACAAACAAACAAACAAAAAACCCCTCTCATTTCAATTTTGTTCCACGCTCTAGGGGGAAAGCAGGAGCATTATTTTTCTTTTTCTTCCTTCCTTTCATCTTATGGGGAACTGCAATATTTTAGGTGATAACACTGCCAAACTGTGTTTCCACACAGCTGAACATCTTGATTGCAAAACAGTGCAGCTCTTATGACTGAAAACCTCACATTTCTCTTTTCATCTGTCTTAGCTTTTTGAGTGCATCAATGCCATTGCATACCAGGTTCCCGTGACAGTTTGGTTTATCAACTTAATGGTATAGATTGCAGTGCAGACTCTCTAAATCTCCAGCCTAAAGATCATTCTCCTCCTTCTGCAGCCATCATTTCCTGTAAGGTAAAAATACACAGAGGTTACTTCTTACTTGTCAGAACTAAGCAGCAGAGTCAACTAGCAGATCTATGCTAAACTTGCAGTTCTAATTTCACTTTTATAAGCTTAAAAAAGCACACTGACTTTTTTGGAGGCTCTTCTTGCACAGCAAGGCCTTCCTGACTGTACATTTGCTTTGCACAGCAGTATCTGCATCTTTTCTGTGGCATCCGTATTCCATTTTGATGCAACAAGTGGATGAGGGACAAAATAGGACTTAGGCTAGACTGGAAAAGCAAGGTCAGTAACTCAGGGAAGTAATTCGTAGCATTGCTAGAAAACCTTAGAAGAGAAAATTGTCTTCTGTATATGGATCCAGATTGCTTGTGCTTTCTTTGGCTGAGATCAAGGCTCCTTCTTGCCTCTCCTTTGTCCTCCTTCATGTTGATGTGAAGTGTGGGAATAACAGTGTGCCTACAGATTTTTCTGTCGTTGAATAACTGACTGGTTGGCAAGTATGAACATCTAATCTGAAAAAACGTATGCAAAACCTCATCATTTCACTCTAATTTGAAGGGTGCTCCAAATAATAGGCATAGACTGGATAGTTTAACATAATACTGAATTGAGCTGTCTGTGTAGGAACTGAAGTTTCATCAGACCTGTGCCTGTTAAGTGCATGTAGATTCTTCTCCCTCTACCCCGTTTTTAATTAACCGTCCAATCTTGTTTTTAGCAGTCAATTCTCAGTGTAGTTTATGGCAGTAAATTATATCGGCTGTCGTTTTTTTGTTGTGCAATAAGCTATTGCTAATTGGCATTTCCTCTTTAATTTCCTCTGTTAAGAATTATGTTAAAATAATTGCTGCCAGAAAGCACAGTACAGAACTCTTAATTACTGGCTAACAGTTCTGTCCTTCAGATCCTTCCTCCAAGCTATGCTTTCATAGAGTATGTGCTTTTAATTTGAATTCAGCTCCATAAAACTCAGGAGAATCTATTGTCTATCAAAGCCAAACTCATAATAATGAAGGATCTGTCACAGCAGATCAGACACCAAGTCTCTGTAGTTTGGTGCCATGCCTCTGGCAGTGGCTATTTCTTGATATTTTAAAAGAAGGTAAATCTCTTCCCAAATGGCTAATGCATCTTACCCATTTGTTTGACACTGCACATTTCTTTCTAAACCTTGCAGATCACTGTCTTACACCCTGAAGCATGAGATTTGATTACCCTTATTGTCTTACCTTGCATAGCTACAAATGTTATTAGCAGTCATAAAATTATTCAGTTCTTTTTAAAAACATAGCTGTGTTTTTTATCTTGATGACCTGGTGACAGCCAGTTCCATTGACTATGTAAAAGAAATGTTTCCCTATATTGTTTCTGCATTTACTGTTCTTTCACTTAAACTCCTTTTATTTTATGCAATAGAGAAAGAGAGGAACCTGGTCAGTTTTTAATATATCCTATCTAATTATGAATAATTGTATGAAATTCCCTCTAACTTGTGTATAATTTTGGGTGCTATAAAGTTCTGAACTTTGTTAATTTTTTATTCCCTTCTATTTATTGGTTCAGCCTTAAAATCAGTCAGTTGTTTTTTTTCCTGAACATACTAATGAATATTAAAATGTACCTGGTGTATGATCTGTGGCCTATATTTTTAAATTTTATATCCCTCATTTTTCCTCCTAGTGTGAAGAAATTTAGTAAAAGAAAAAGAATACCTAGTTTGTCTTCTGAAGAATTTTATTTCTAGGTAAATGACGGTAGAGTAATCATAAATTTTGAAGAGCTGAAATTGATGGTCTTTTCAACAGATCTTTTGCGTCTGAGTAATCAGGATGTGATACACTATGGGAATTATATAGACTGTTTATGGACTTTATTTTTAATTTTCATCACCTTGTGTCTGTTTAATCTAAATTTAGTCAATCATTGGGACAGATGATTTCTCTTAGATATTTACTAGAAAAAAATTAAATGTAGTTTCATATATACAGAGGCAAATGGTATAATTGCATATATAAAAAAAGACTTGCCTAGTTGTCATAGAAACATAGAATATCCTGAGTTGGAAGGGACCACAAGGTTCATTGCCCTGCACAGGACAGCCTCAGGAATCGGACCATGTGCCTGAAAACATTGTCCAAATGCTTTGAACTCAGGCTTGGTGCTGTGACCACTCCCCTGGGGATCATGTTTCAGTGCCCAGCCACTCTCTGGGTAAAGAACCTTTTCCTAATATCCAACCTAAACCTCTCCTGAGACATGCCATTCCCGTGGGTCCTGTCGCTGGTCCCCACAGAGAAGAGAACAGTGTCTACCCCTCCTCTTGCCTTTGTGAGGCATTTGTAAACTGCAATGGGATCTCCCCTCAGTCTCCTCTTCACACTGAACAAGCCAGGTGACCTCAGTTAGCTCCTCATATGGCTTCCACTGTAGACCCATCACCATCCTCATGGCCCGTCTTTGGACAC